GTTGCCAAGGTTGGACACCCCTGCTATAGGGGATACTATGACGAGAGGCTGGTGCCATGACAGAGAAGACCCACATCCTAGGTCCTATCAGATGGCAGGCTTGAAAAATGGAACACAAACCATGCCAACTCTTTTAGATCTTACAGAAAAGCAAATACCATGAGAGAAAGAAGGTCTCTCAAATGACAAGCCCTCTGTCATGTAGGGCTTCATCAATTGCAACCAGGCCCTTGAATTGCACTCAGAAGCCTGCTGAATCAGTGTGCTCAAGTAGCAGAGGTGTTACATCAATATATTGTGGCATGCCCATATCTGCTTATCCTGCTTTATTGTGCATCAGCTGAAGCTTCCACCAAAGGGTGGCTAAGGCATGAAGAGGGCCTACGATCCAGGGAACATGAGTGTAATTGGTGTGCAAAATGGATTTGTGCGAAGAACTTCACGAACACAGCGTTATTCCCCATTTCCATCTAGGGAAGGTAAACAATGGAAACTTCTCAGGGGCAGGAAGCGCAAGAGCAACTCAGCCTTAACATGGTTGAGCTTGAGCCTGATATAGAGCTTCACACGCTCCAGGTACTGGGACACGATTTTCAAGCATAACTTGCTTAACCAGTGATTGACATATATACAGATGGAGATTATTAGTGTATTCGTTCATAGATCTCATGTTGAGCTATATTTTATCCAGTGGTCCTCTTATAAAGATTAAACAGGAGGGGTGTGAACATCAATGCTGATGTTCAAACAAATTAGGGGTTTAAGGTCTAACCTCTCCCATCCACCCCCAAAATCAACAACTGGAACCAACCAAGAAGAAGGCAGAAAACTACTGTAACATGATGCCTCCCAGTCTCAAATCCCCTAATTAATCCAAATGGATATTGCTATCCCACTCTGCCAAATGTCATCAAAAGGCATGTGCAATGCTTTCTCTTTACTATGTCCAAGCCTGAAATCTAATTGAAAAAGATCCAGATATTCTGCTTAATCCAGGGCTTTCTGAATTTGCATTTTCAACAACCTTCCTTAAAAATGGAAGATTTTTTTCTTGTATTGCTGAATATAGCCATTCTTATCGCATCACAGTGATTTAAAAGTCATTTTACAGCCTTCGTGTAAAAACTCCATAGAGTTCTTTTTTTTTCCAGAAAGGTAAAAATGAGTAACAGGAATAGTTTATTATTACTGGGTCACCAAAGTTCACAAAATGTATAAACAAATATTTCAAATTAGTGTTCTGTAAAATGTTTACTAATTCCCACATTTGAAATTTCAAATCATTTCTTCTAGACAAGCTGCTACAAAAACAGTTATGGAGCTTTGTTTCCATATGCCGTATGACAGCTGCAGCAAGACTATTATACTTTCAAAAGTGGAAAGGTTCAGGACTACTTTCAATGGAGGAATGATGGTGGAGATGATGGAGCTTGCAGATATGGCTAAAATAATTTCCAAGATCAGGAAAAAAAGACAGTATCTATATTTATGATTGACTGGAAATCCCTTACATACATTTTGCGTGAAACTGAAAAAAATGCACTGGTTTTGATGATTAGGGGAAAAATGAATAATAGAAAAAAGTAACTTTTAAAAAAATCGTACAGTAAGAGATAATTTTGTAATCTTAATTGTATTTGCTGCAGAGGAAATCAGAAGCTTCTATTTTTATTCTTTCTCACTGGACTTGTCTTTTTTTTTCTTGTCTCTTTCTGTCTTTGTTCTCTCCATTTCATATTACCTTATGTTAGTTTTTATGTTCCCTTTAATGTTTTTAATAAAGTTTATTAAATAAAGAAGTTTCAAAGCATTATTTTGAAAAAAATTAGAGTGGGGCATGCTTTAAAAACAGCTTAAAGAAATTCTCCTTGATATTGATTAAATTGTATGTGGGGGTTTTCAGGATTCTGAAAAACTTGTGCTATTTTAAACAACACTACTTCCTTACAACAATGGTATCTTTTTTCAGGTCCACACAAAAGCTTAAAAGCTTTTGCTTAATAATAGAAAGCCTCAAAAGCACCCCTTTCAAATCCTTTCCAAGGTGTGCCCTGTCCTATTTTCTATGGGTCTCCTTAGAAGTAAGTGCTATTGATTTGCTTCAGATAATAAACACAGTAATCATTTCCCATTAGATGAATTCCCAATTTTTTCAATAAACATCTACCAGTTCAATGAAGAGTGATTTATCAAAATTATATGGAGCTTCTCGCAGAAGAAAGAGCAAATACGATTCTAGCTTGGAGTGAGATGATGAATGTTTATATATTACAAATTATCATGCTACAGGCATACCCAAATATCACAACAGTACCATAAATTGGTCAAACAGAGCAAAACATATGACTTATGTCTCTAAGCTGAATATGCTGTACTATGAATACAAGGGTAATAAATTCTTATGGGGTTGACTTGGTTTGAAAGAAAAATAGCAGTTGACTTACCTATTCATTAATTCTTGGAAGACATCTTGCTGTATTGGAAATATAAATGTGCTAAGAACTGATTTTAAATATTCCAAAGAAACAAATCCACTTCGACCGACATCATATGCTCTGAAGGCCTTTGCAACATCCTCATGGGCTGAACGCAACTGTAAATAATAGATTTACAATAGTGTTACTTATAAAATATTGAACTGAAGACATATTGCTGCTATTATAACAATTCCTTCCAAGGCTTAGAAATTCCCAACTATTGAATGGTTGCTATGCAGGGTGACGCACTCACTATTTCCTTCATAACCTCCATAGGTGTAGTCATCACCAAAAAATTATGGTTGGTGTTTTTAGAAACAAGAATGTGTTTGTAAAGAAAGGCAGAGCAAAAACTATCATTTCCAGAATAGAACCACTCAGTTTCAAGGCTACCAAGTGCTTTGTAAAATATCCTAAAGGTGAACACAGAACATAAAATAATACAGCTGAAAGATATCACAGAGGTATTCTAGTCCAATTGTCTCCCCAAGGAAGAAAACCTTATATTATTCCTGTCAAATAGGAGTTGTGATGATCCGGGGTGCGGCACAAAGGCAACACAGTCAGATAATCAATAAGAATCCCGTTATTATCTCCAACTTTGCCCCCAATGTCCAGGTTACCTTCGGGCTAAAGAAAAACTCTCCCAGGAATAGACTGTAGAAAATTCAGTCCAAAACAAGGTACACACAAACTATAACTTAAAATCCAAACAAACCAAACTGAAGTAATTAGTTTGGCAGGGCAAGAACAGGAATTTCAGACTTGAAGGCACGGCAACACTCACACAGTTGGGAAGATGCCAGGAACACAGATAACCAAAGTCAGCACAAGATAAACTCATGTTTGCTTCCAGCAGCTGCCACACTCAGCATGCCTCTTTTTTAAACTCTCTTCCCAGCTGTGGCTAATGAAGGGAATCGGCCCTTCCCCGTAAGCCACGCAACCCACATTGCTCTTTTCTCTATTCCTCCCTGCGAGCCCTAGGATGAAGAGGGGGTGGTCCTGCATCTTCCCCTGAACTCCGTCTCCCTTGTTCTACCTCTCTCCTGCTCTGCCCAGCCAGACTTTGCCCTTCCCCAGTTTCCTCCACAGCCAACTGAGCCACACTCCCACTCCCTGTCAGCTGTTTGGCTTCCTCCTCCAAGTCAGATTCCAACAAGGGCATGACAGGAGTTTTGTTGAAAACCTACAGTGATGGAGCACCCACAACTCCGGGAGGCAAGATGTATAATCGATTAACTGTTCACACTGCAAGGAAATTTCTCCTTTCTTCTAGGTTGGATCTCTCTTTAACAAGTTTCCACCCATGATGTCTTCTCCTGCCTCCTACTATAATGCTATGTAGTCTGGAACATTTGTTGTCAGTGTAGACCATATACCCAAACCTCCTAAGTAGTCATGTCCCACTAGTACCATATTTTTCTGTGTATAAGACAATGCTTTTTCTTAAAGATATTTACCTAAAAATGGAGGGGCGTCTTGTATACGGGGGGGAGCCCGAAAGGAGAACCACGGTTACAAAACTGCTGACACCTTATCTCTGCAAACTATCCTCACGAGTGAAAGTTCCAATTGCTTAAAATATGGATTTCTGAATTGTGGGTAAGAAAAGGGGGGACATCCTATACATGGGGGCATCTTGTAGACAGAAAATACAGTATTTGTGGGTGTCCTTATACGGCTGCTAGGTATTTTATACCATTAAGAACATTGTTTATTAAGATTTTCTTCTAAAATGTTATGTTCACTGCCTTGGGTTATTTATAAAAACAATAAAATGAGATATAAATAAAATAATAAATGGAATATAAAATAAAAACTTTGTAGTTGTCATCCCAAGAAGATGTTTTTTTTTTAGAAGAATGACAGTTAAAACAAAAATAGCTAACAAGACGAAGTATTGTTTTTCTGTCAGGGAATTGCACAGCAGATGTCTGAAATGAAACCAGAGACGCTGACACAAACTTGTAGTTTTATATAAATAAATATATTTGACATCTATATTTACATTGGATAAAATAGTCAGGCACATCACTACGTCATGAGGTAAATCACAGAGCACATAGGGCACACACACACACACACACACACACACTCACACAAAAGGCAGGGAAAAGGGGGAACTCTCCCTCCACAACCACAGCAACCAAACACAGCCCAGATTGCCTCACGCAGGATCTAGCACTCTCCAATCAATCAACTATAACTGTGGGTCCTGGCTCACTGCACAACCCCACTGCTCCAGCTACTAAATTTAAATATCTTAACATTAGAATTAGAATCCTTTATCGGCCAAGTGTGATTGGACACACAAGGAATTTGTCTTGGTGCAAATGCTCTCAGTATACATAAAGGAAAAGATACATTTTCTCTCAAAAACACTTTTAAATTAAAACAAGAAAATATCTGGAATTGGAAGGTTTTATATGTCATTGGTTTTCTTATGAAGAAATCAACTTGAAGATTTAATGTTGATAAATAGAAGGATAACTGAAAGGTGTAAGACTGAATTTGATGTGGAATTGTGTACAAATGATGATTGTTGCTAATATGTACAAACTTTTATTGAAAATGGAAACGGAAAATGAACAAGTCAAAGTTGCAGGATAAGGTGGGCAAAAATTTGACTATAATATACCCTTGGGTTTTGGAAGATAGGCTCAAGATTCAGAAGGAACTTGACAAACTTGAACACTGTGCCCTATCCAACAAGATGCAGTTCAGTGGTGAGAAAAATAGGGTTCTACACTTAGATAGGAAAAGCCAGATGCACAGGTAAAGAATAAGTGGCACCTGGTTCAACAGTAGTAACTGTGAGTGAAATATAAGTTGTCCTCGTGGACCATTACTTAAGTATGAGCCAGCAAAGTGCTGAAGCTGCCAAAAAAGCCAATGCATCAAAGAGAGGGACAACATCAAGACAATGAAAAGAGATAGTATTGCTTTATATTGCACTGGTGAGACTACACTTGGAATACTGCATCCAGTTCTGGTCACCACAGTACAAAAGGAGATGTTGTGACTCTGGAAAGTATGCAGAAGACAGCAACAAAGTCGATAAAGAGCTTGGAAGCTAAATTGCATGATGAATCATTGAGGGAGCTAGGTATGTCTAGCCCAGGGGTGTCAAACTCAAGACCCAGGGGCCAGATCTGGCCCATGGGGTGCTTCGATCTGGCTCATGGGCCCACCCTGGAAACAGAGAAGGATCGGCCCACGGTGCCTCTGCCAGCAAAAAGGGACTTCGGGGAGCCACGTGCAGCCCTCCTGAGCTCCATTTTTGCTGGCAGAGGGCTGCAGGAGGCCGTTGTGGCCAAAAACAGAGCCTGTGCAGTCCGTGCGGAGCCTCCCTAAGTTCTGTTTTTGCTGACAGAGGGCTGTAGGAAGCCATCATGACCAAAAACGGAGCCCGGGAGAGCTGACGTGGCCAAAAATAGAGCCTCAATGAGTGACATTGAGCTGGCCACTCCCACCCTTGCCACACACCCCTGGAGTCAAACACAACCCTGATGTGGCCCTCAATGAGATCGAGTCTAGCCTATTGAAGAGAAGGATTAGGGAAGGATATGATAACTGTTTTCTAACAGTTGAGGGGTTGTCATAAAGAAACGGGGACTTATTCTGTAAGGCACCAGAGGGCAGAACAAGAAGTAATGGGAGGAAGCTTGTTAAAGAGAGATCCAACCAAGAAATTTTCTAATAGTGAGAACAATTAATCAATGGAATAGCTTGCTTCCTTGGGTTGTGGGTGTTCCATCACTGTAGGGTTTCAGAAACAGACTGGACAACCATTTGATGGTATAAGGCTCCTGTCTTGAGCAGGGATTGGGCTAGAAGACCTCTGAAGTCCCTTCCAGCTATAAGACTTTATGATGCTATGAGTACATTAAAACTGATAAAGCAACTTTTCAACACTCTGATATGGAGCCATTAGCCTCTTCCAGGAGGTGAAAGCCCATTATTCAATACTTCTGTAAAACTTCTTGGCATTGATCAAAGAACTTACCTTTTCTCTAAAATGTTTTGCAGTGGTATCTAGATGGATCTTTGTCAAGTTGTATCCAGTTGTGGCAGGCAAAGATATCTTTGAATCACTACTCTTGCTTTCTGGGGATTCATTCTGTGCTGTTAAGAAAAGCTATGGTTTAGCAAGATTCTATTAGTTTTCTTTGAACAAGAAAAATAATATTGCTTGCTGCTTTATATTGCTCCAGAGCAAATAACTTGATGTTCAAAACACTACCCTGTAGCAGTATTTTCACTGTTGCAGAGTTTTGTAAAATATCACAGAAACTGGGGGGAAAAGGAGCAATACTAAAATAGGTGTGTGTATTTCATTGAAAAATATTACCAACATATTGCAAGATTTTACAGAAGAACAAATATCTTGCAAACATTGGCTGCTGTGTACTTTTGATTGATTTAATTTTTAAATTTGCCCAGAATTGCTGGGCAGCATATAAATTTAATAAATAAATAAATTCAATTTAGAAATAATTTAAGAATCAATGCCTGGAACTGATCCACTGCGCATTCCCGCCCCCCGCCTCCACCAGTTGATTGTCGGGTATCTGCCGCGCAGGCATAGGAAGAGATGTGTGCGCATGCACAGAGGCGTGCGGTGCATGCACGGGGTGGTGGTCACGTGTGCATTGTATTATGGGTGCAGGCACGCACGCACACACTTTCGACATGCAACAATGAAAAGGTTAACCATCACTTCCCTATATTAATTGGTGAAACAAAACTTTGTAGCAGTGAAATGATGGTTTAATGCTCCTTCCCTCAACCCCCTTAAGATGCCTACCTGAATCTATTATCTTTTCAGCTCTCTTTTTCTTTTTCTTCTCCAAACTTATGCCAAGATATTGCAAAAATTCTTTATAATTCAGTGTATTTGTTCTTGAAATACAATACCGATTCCATAATCTAAAAAAAAAAATACCACACACAGGTTCATTAAATTTTGGAGAATAAACTAATGTAATGTTTAACCATACATACATATGATGAATATAATAATCAAACTAAGAGCGATGTAAGATATTTTCTTTACTTTGTAAATTCTCATCTCAAATGTTTTATTTATCATTCCCCTCTGTATTAGTTACTTTCTAGGAACCAATTTTTCCCTTTTCCTAATCAGTTTGGGAAGATTCTAAAAGAAAGGGTTGTTCATCTTTTTACTTCTTTTTTTGAAACACACCTAGAAAGAAATGTTTTGATTGCATTGTGATCTGTGTCACCCATACAACTTAGAACAACCTTGGCAACTTGAAGACGTGTGGACTTTGATTCCCAGAATTCTCCAGCTAGCATAGTTGTCATCTTTTCAGGGAGTCCAAGACCACATATTTTCAAGATGCCAAGACTGACTTAGAAGAAGCCATTGGAAGGTTGTAACTCATGGCAAGTCCTTCTTTCCCTCTCTTTCTTCCTCTGAAAAAATGTCAAGTGCTTTTTAGGTAAAGATAAAGGCTCCCCTCGCACATACGTGCTAGTTGTTTCCGGCTCTGGGGGTGGTGCTTATCTCCGTTACAAAGCCAAAGAGCCAGTGCTGTCCGAAGATGTCTCCATGGGTCATGTGGCCAGCATGCCTAAACACCAAAGGCGCATGGAACGCTGTTACCTTCCCACCACAGTGGGCCCTATTTTTTTTACTTGCATTTTTACATGCTTTCGAACTGCTAGGTTGAGAGAAGCTGGGACAAATAACGGGAGCTCACTCCATTACGTGGTGCTAGGGATTCGAACAGAGGTGGTATTCAGCAGGTTCTGACCAGTTCTGGAGAACCAGTAGCGAAAATGTTGAGTAGTTCAGAGAACCGGCAAATACCACCTCTGACTGGAGATTTTACAGTATCCTTCCCCTGCCACGCCCACCAAGCCACGCCCACAGAACCGGTAGTAAAAAAAAATTTAATCCCACCACTGGATTTGAATCGCCAAACTGCCGACTTTTCTGATCAACACTTTTCTGATCAATGTCTTAGCCACTGAGTCACTGCGTCCCTGGTAAGTGCTTTCATAAATAGTCAATATCCTCCTTTGAGCTCAGATCTCTCCTTCACCCAAACATCTAAGACAGTTTCCAACTATTATCTTTAGATGTTGTAACATAATATCAGCACAGATAAAAGGGGAATGATTAGCAACTTGTGTAAATAAACCATGGAGTTTCTGGGTCCCAAAGATCAAAAGCCCATATGGGTTCACTCTAGCTCTTTTTCTGACTATTCCTAGAAGTAAGAAAACTGATACCTCTTCTAAACCCTTGGACATGGACCCTTACAAAAAGAAAGAAAATAATGGGTACAGCTAGAATAGTCATAGGCTGACCTCTGGGTCAGAAGGTTAGCAGAGTTTGGCCTGGTCAGTGTTTGGATGGGCACCTTCCAAAGCATCTTATCTTTTGAGGCAATATGCTGAAATGGAATATAACAAAGATAAATACTAGGAGGAGTTCTGGACCATTTCCAAGATGTGTCTATGAAGTCACCAGGGCTTCAGCCTGAAGCAAGGGGATTTTGAATCACCTATTCGCTTAGCTGATAGCTGATAAAACTGCATGTTAGACTGGGATGCTAAAAAATTCCCCAAAGAAGTATTTCCATATAGCTGCCAAGAAAATTATATGGACAGTCCCATGAGGTTCCCAGGAGTCAAGCTTTACCTTACCAATTTAATAAACAAACATCAACCTGTTTCAAAACTAGACATTGTGGAAGAAGCTTTGAAGGGTTTTCTTGCAGCTCCCTTAAGAACCATTTTAAATTCAACCAAAGATGAATCCAGTTGGCTACAGACATTTTACAAATCTCTAGAGAATAAATGTCATCATTTTAATTCAGATTTAAATGCACCAGATAAAAATTTCTGATACTTTTTATGAACACTCCTTTTGTTCTAGTAACATCCATTTAGATTTATCACACTGAAGACTTGGATGCCAAGTACAAGATTTATTATCAAATAAAACCACATTTTGTTGTTTTTCATTGCTCTACTTTAAAAAGCATGGCTTCTGTTCTGTAATTATGTGCACCAAATTATAAGAAGGGTTTTTCCTTTGTTTTCATCTAATTTTGGAGAACATGCCAAGTGCCCATAAAAAAGAGGAATATCAAACAGCAAGCCCAGCTTGTAAATATGGGCTAAAATTTGTTTTGAGGTTGCTGGTAACAAGAGATATAAAATATTTAGAGCAAAGCAAAACAAATAAATAGTCTGTCCTAATTTCTCTCCCCTCTTCAGCTTAATGTTTCTGCTACAGCTCTCTAAACCTTCCAAATTAAAGTTTTTCCAGGCTTCAGGGAGGATACAGACTCCTCATATTAAAGTGACCATATTTGCACCACAAAAGCCTGGGGCACTTAACAGCAACAAAGAGATGGACCAAACTAACTCTTTGATGCCACTTAGTAGTTGGTTGCGTTTATGTAGCCCAAATCTGGGAGACAACCCTCAACACCACCAACAACAAATGCAACTTGCATTGGACTGCAAACAAATTGTGGAATTGCACCCCATTTTCTTCTTTGTGTTCCCTCACATGGGGCCATGGAAGGAGAGTACCTGAGAAAACTTTACTTTTGAGGACCTATATAAGATGTGGACTTCAGTGGTGGGGTTCAATTTTTTTTACTACTGGTTCTGTAGGCATGGCTTGGTGGGCATGGCAGGGGAAAGATACTGTAAAATCTCCAGTCAGAGGTGGTATTTGCCAGTTCTCTGAACTACTCAAAATTTCCGCTATCGGTTCTCCAGAACTGCTCACAACCTGCTGAATACCATCTCTAGTGGATTTCCTCTCAGATGATGATGATGAAGAGGATGAATTCTTCAGCTATGGTTGATCAAGAAGAGTTATTTCAGCCCAAAACCAACTGATCAAGGCTCTCTGAATTACTCTCATGGATGTGTTAGCTGGATTTTACACTACATATGATCCCTTCCATGAACCAGGAAATCAAACAGAACCACTGTGTCCCAAGGTCAGAATAACATTGTTAAGTTATGTTAAAGAATAACAACGGAAAAATAGAAGACTGTCACAGTTTACAGCAGACATAGTTTAATATCTATTATCTAGGACTTTCATTGTCAAGGAAACATAATTTACTAAAATTAGCCTCCGTCTACTAAAATAAATGCAATAGTAATTACCTCATGTAAGGTAAGCTTCCCACAGTGATTCTACAAGAGCCTTTCACTTGTGCTTTTACTTACTTATCATACTCGCAATCTGTCATCTTGAAGCAGTTGATTTCAAGAATCCTTCTTAGTTCATGGCGCTGGATCTGTCCATTTTGATTATAGTCAAAAAGCCTGCAAGTTTTGATGAAGTGCTTGATCTTTTTAGAAATCTGTTAAGAATTTTCAAAAGATTTGCATTGAAATACCGAAGTGTTCATAGGGCTAGTTCACTTTAATATTGAGTTCTGATATCAAATTATTTAATAGTACGAGTTACTATTCCACCAAAGGATTTTAGATTTCCTTTCTAAATATCATGAGGGGAAAAAAACCAATGTTACAGAAGCTGCACAGTGGAAAGGCTTCTTTCAAACTTATGTTTGCAAAAATTAATTTCCAAAACTATACTTTATCCTGAGGGACTCACTGAAGAAGAGTCTAACGCTGGGAACGATTGAGGGCAAAAGAAGAAGGGGATGACAGAGAATGAGGTGGCTGGATGGAGTCACTGAAGCAGTTGGCGTGAGCTTAAATGGACTCAGGGGAATGGTAGAGGACAGGATGGCTTGGAGGAACATTGTCCATTGGGTCACAATGGGTCGGACACAACTTCGCAACTAACAACAACAAAGGGAAATACAAACAAGACATTTGTTCAACTATTGAAAGCTGGAGATTGACTAAACATAATATTGAGGAGGGTAACCTATTTAAAAGGAACATCTGGGTGAGTAAGTATTTGCCAAATGTTAGTATTCTGCATAGTAAATTATTCTTCAAAGGCAGAAAGAATGTGATGTTCTCCATGTATTTTGGGGTTGCACTCAAAGTGCCTATCACTATTGGTATTATCTGCTTTCTTTTGTCACAGTCATTCTACTTCTATTTGCAGGCCTTTGTATTTTTTTTTTATTTTCTGCAGTTCCTTCTCTTCTCTGCCACATCCATTATCTGGGCTTCTTCGTCTTTCTAATTGACAAATATTAAGTCTGGGGTATTACGTGGCAGATGCTTGTCAGTTTGAATTCTAGTTCCAGAGTACTTTAGCTTTTTCATTTTCTATTAGGATTAGAATCTTGTGGTCCTTAGAAAAGGGCAGGAAGGATCTCGATGGAATTTCAAGATTCTGCTAGGAGACCTTATTATAAAGTAGAATTCCTAGAATCTCTTTAGGGTCTATTTCTTAGCTTGACCTAGTTTTGGGCTTCTTTGAACTAAAGCTGAATACTGCTGAATACTGAGCACCAAATAACAACCACGGTGACTCTCTTTATGATTGTTGTAAAACAGTAGTGAAGTTGAGTCTGGTCATGTGGTGATTTGACTTATGGCTGCAATGACTTACAACTGAGTCCTAATTGTCATAAATTGAGGACTACCTGTACAGAGCTTGGCAACTAGGGTTTACCTACAATCCTTGAAGGCACAACATGGGATTGGGTTTGTTTGTTTCTTACTGCAGGCCACTTCTTGGAGGAGCCCCTTTTCATTTCAAGATTGCTTTTCTCCCATTCAGGGTAGGAGAACCCAGAAAACCTTAGTCGTGCAGATTAACTCTTGGTGGTTTATAATATGAGTTCTGCGAAGTCTTTGTCAGTTTAAAAAAAGGAACAAACATGTCCCTTTCAATGCAGTTAATTAAATACAAAGAATGTATACAAAGAACAATGCCAATGGGTGATTGACCACAAGAAAGATGCTTCTGTTTAAAGTATTTTTTATAGAAACAGAAAGACATGGGGTCTTAAAAATAATCCAAAAAGGAAATAATAACAAATTTCTAGGCAATAAATATGCTTTTGCATCACTTTGCAGTTGAAATTCTTTGTACAAAATTGTTAATTAAAAAATTTCTTTGGAATTGTTCCCTGCCCCAAAGCCAGAGTGAAATTGTTTTCAAAAACCTGTACACACACCAAAAAAAAAAAAAAAAAAATCAAAGATATGGAAGGCCACAGCTGTGAAGATATGAAGTGCTACTCCGCACCAAATGAATTGGAACAAAATAAGTACAGCGACTGTTATGCTGTTCATTTTGGCTCCATTCTTTTCAGTAGCACAGTCTAACTTGTCACTTTATATTGATTCCATCTGTTTACACTCTGCAGTGGATTGGCTTCCTATGGCGAATATTTCCTATTTACCAGCTGGTAAAGACGGGCCAAACCAGATAGGAAAGAATTAGATTATTTTCAAATCCCCATAAACACAAAAATGAAAAGGGGAAAAAAGAAAAAGGGATGGAAACCTTTTCCCCCCTCTTTCCATTTCTTCTCAGGCTGCTTCGTGTTGTTCTGGCAATTGAAAAAAAGCCCTTATGTTGCCAGAAAGATGTTTACACCTTAACATACTGTTGTTTATTGCATATGTGAAGTCCCTGTTGATGTGATGCTAATGAGATTCCTGATGCTGGATTTTTTAAAGAATGAAAAAGGGAGGCTGGATTTTAAACCAGGCTTGCTCTGTTCTGTAACCCAGAAAGCTGAACAGAGTTCTCTGTAGCATGGTTACTCAACCCTGACAACTGTAAGGTATGTGAACTTCGACTGTCAGAACTCCCTAATCAGCATGCCACAAGAACTTTAGGTGAGAATGACCATGTCATATTAGAATTCAATATAAAGGATGCTGCAACAGTCGTGAGTGTGAAAAATAGCCATAAGTCACTTTTTTCTGTGTCGTTGTAACTTTGAATGGTCACTCCACACAAGCAAAGTACCAGCAAAGGAAGGAAAAAAAAACTCCAGAGACGTTCCTGAGACAGGAAGTCTAGTCCTGCCAAGAATGTAATAAGGGTGTGTAAATGAACTGTTGTAAATCGAGGACTGCTTGTATATGAGCTTTACCTCCAAGTGTCCGCCGTGAAACCCAGAAACACAGGCTCTTTTAACAAACTGCATCACTGCTTGGTTTGGTGGCAGCAGTGCCTCAGATAGAAAGTCCATACAGAGAGTGGTAAGGACAGCCGAGAAGATTATAGGAAGCTCACTTCCACTCATTCAGGATACTGCTTATAGGTGTTATTTGCTTAGAGCTCAAAGCATTGTTAGAGACCCCACACATCCACTTTACGGTCTGTTTCTGTTTCTCCCCTCTGGGAGGAGGTTTCCAAGTATTTCTAGTAGGACTACCAGATTCTGTAACATCCTTGTTCCCTATGTCACCCGTCAGGTAAACTCCCAAGATTCATTTTTCTCACCAAGTACATGTATACATCCAAACTAGACTGTGTTTTTCTGTGTTGAATCATATATGTGGGTATATGCATAATTTTGTATTTATTTATTGTATCTTGGTTATGTAGTGTATATTGGAAGTAGTGACCTTTTGAGAGCTGTATGCAACAAATTTTCATTTTAATGTATGCCGATCAGTGTACAAAGTGACAATAAAGTTCTATTCTGTTCTATCCTATCTTATAAAAATTAAAATAGTTGAATCAGGACTTCACTTCATGAACATTGCAATTCAGTGGTGACTCTGCTGCTTCATTCACCTTTATAGCCAAACTGAAGCACAACACAGCCATTGAAGCTCTGAGTGATGATGAAGAGGCTTCATTGCTGTGATGAAAGCATGTCTTGCTGCAATCTGTCTTGACAGTTCTTTAATATGCAAATAGCTCACAGTCTTGGGTGCCAGAGACAGATGCCATTCGCCAGAGACTTTGTCTGGCACCTGGTAGAAAGCCACCTGGGCATGCAGGCATACACTGGGTGGTGCCAGTGTGCAAAGGCCAGGCTGCAGCAACAGCTTCAGGTTAGAGTTAGAGTGTTGCTTCAAACAGCTCTGAGAAACCAGCCCTGGTCAGGAGGGTTAGGCCAACACGAGGAATTCACACTGAATGAAGTGCAATTCAGACATTTTACTATTGGCAATGAGTACCCTGCTCCAGGTATCTAGACCTCATTAGCTAAAGCAATGTTTTCTCAAGCTTAGCAACTTGAAGATATGTGAACTTCAACTCCCAGAATTCCCCAGTGAGCCTTTCTGGCTAAGGAATTCTGGGAGTTGAAGTCCACACACTTTCAAATAGCTACGGTTGAGAAACACTGTTCTAGAGGATGGTTGATCTTGAAAGGGAGAGAATGCTGAGATAGAATGAGACTTCTAGCGTAAAGATACTGCAAGATGTGGTTAAAAAAGGTCAACATGGCGGGGCCATTGAAGCTCTGCCTGTTTTTTATGAGCATATAACTTGTCGTTGTTTTTTTTTTTTTTTGGCTCCATCCTGCAAGCACCCTACTCTTGCACCAGAGGTGGTATTCAGCAGGTTCTGACCAGTTCTGGAGAACCGGTAGTGGAAATTTTGAGTAATTTGGAGAACCGGAAAATCCCACCCCTGACTGGCCCTGCCCCCATCTATTCTCTGCCTCCCAAGTCCCAGCTGATTGGCTGGGTCTTTTGTTGCCCTGCACAGGAGAACAGAGCTGGAAAGCAGGTTAGTGGGGTGGGGAGGAAATGGGGATTTTACAGTATCCTTCCCCTGCCACGCCCACCAAGCCATGCCCACAGAACCAGTAGTAAAAAAATTGAATCCCACCACTGTCTTACACCATTCTCTTGCACAACTGCTGAGAATCTCTACAGCTGATGGAAATGCATGAGGCACTGGTCTTTCTCTTAGCACTTACGACATCAAGGATCATCAAACGCAGGATTTAAAAAAAGGCTTTGAATCCTTCACTATCTCCCCCAAAAATGCATGGGGATTGTTCTCGGCTCTGTCCTGAAATTGGTAGATCGATTACAAGAATGCAGGCCTTTGGATTTGAGGGCAAAAAGTTTTGCGAGGGGCCCCTTCTGTGAGACCTTTCTGAGTTAGGACTAACTCGTGAGATTTGCAACATTGGGGGTCCTGTTCAAAGTGGAAGCCCCTTGTGGGGTGTTACCTTCTCTCGTAAGAGGCACTCCATTTGGCTTAAGGTCCTGGTTCGGCTTTCTCGGGGATTATTCCACCTGAAAAACCAACCAGAAATTAAGGTCACTCAACTTTTTTTAAAAATCAAGCCTGCCCTCTTACCAATATTTTTAGCTGGGGATAAAAAATAGAACTGCCAGCTCCTGGTGGCAGTTGAGCCTGGTCAGTGGGAACCAATGGGCCACAGCTGCTTCTGAGGAGAAATCGAGATCAGGAACCATGAGACTTACAATTTTTTTTACATCTTCCTTTTTAGTTTTAATTTGAACAGCCAAGAAGAGAGGAATTCTGCCACGAAGTGGAGAATATAAACCTCTGCACCACACCTTTTCCTGATTTAAATCATCCCCCTCTTTGGCAGCACAGAAGAAAATAGAACTCAGATGCTGAATAAAACTAAATATCTCTCCTCTCATCTCCCCTTGTCTGTCTGGCAGTGGGTTTCCCATCATTTCATCTACCTCAGTTTTTAATGTTGGTTTGCAGATGAGCAAAGAATAATGCAAGTATGTTGTCAGGCAGCGTTTCTCAAACGTTGGCAAGTTGAAGATGTGTGGACTTCAACTCCCATAATTCCCCAGCCAGCATGAAGTCCACACAGTTCAAATAGCCATGTTTCAGAAACACTGCTCTAAGGATTTATTTCTACACAGTGTCATCAATTATGCAGCATTTATGAGACTGTGCAACACTTCAGAGGCCATGTCTTCACAGGACAGGAGGAACAAAGATTCACGCCTCTGTTCCACATCTCAAAGCCGTTACTCCTTGGTGCTGGTTTAAGGGCTATCAACAGATTCTATGTCCTTCAGCCAGTTTGGGAAAGCAAAACAACTGAAGCACTAGATTCACAGCCCTGAATTTTATTTAATTTAGTTTTAGAAGGTCATTGTTCAGATCAGAATCTTTCCTTAGCTAACTTCCTCAAACAGGAAGGGAGAAAGAGCATTTTACTTTCCCAACAGTAACATATGAATATAGAATATATTACAGAAAAGAAGTGCCTTTGGGGCTCTAATCGTATAATCGGGGAGACTATTTTGTTTTTTTGGATCCTACATTGGTGAATCTAATCTGGCTAAAGTGCAACCCGTTGAAGGTCATAAAGAGGAAAAACCAAAGTGGTTTTTACACTGGCTTTAAACCCACAGAAAATATGTCTATTGATTGTAGCCAACTAAAACAGCCCAGATGAAACTATAATCTGAGAGAGCCAGAGCAGTTAAGAGTTGGACAAGGCCTGGAAGACTCTCAGGTTCAAATCCATCCTCAGCCAAGGAAGGTCATTGGGTGATATTCTGGCATGGAATAAAGTGTGCTACGTATGTTGCATTTAGATAAGATATAAGTCTACCAAATAAATATTGATGGGGGATAAAGATCATCCAGTTCTGCTTGGAAATATGAGGCAGTATCTGGTCAGACAAGCTCGTCCTTCAGTCTTGACCAGAAAAACTGTATATATGGAGGTCCTGCTGAAAACAGCAGCCCAAGGCAAGTGTTTGCCTTTCACTCGTTTGCCTAATTTTGCTTATTGCTGCTGTAAGTAAATGCTGTTTACACCGCTGGCCTTATACTTTGCTATTCATATTTTGCTATTTTGATTTCTCTGTTACTTTAAATAGCAAGAAATAAATTGAATCAACATCCTTACTTTGTGCTGATGCTACTGATGGGCCTCGCAAACATTGACAAGAACTCAAGATATGGAACTGTAACTCTGGTAATTCCTGGGACCTGTTTCAATTTTTTAAAAAAGCTGATTATTTTTCGACATAGTGGAGAATGATCATGTCCATCCCTTCTCATTCTTCCTTTCAGTAGTACATAATTAAAAGCATAATCACCTTTCTTTGGTTATATATTTCCAAATAAATAATTTCACCAAACAGTTAATTTCTTGCATCAAAACATTTGCAATCTCAAATGCTCTCAATATCACCTATTATAAGTTATATCAAACTATTTCAAATCCTATGTAGGTTTCCGGGGGATTTATTTCATTATATAACGTTTTGACATACTGCTTCTATTTAACAGGAGTATTAATTCAGTTAGAATTCTAAAGACAAAAATATCCAAGGTCTCTAATCTCACAATTAAGTCATTCATTCCAAGGAGTTAAGTAGTAAAATGTTCCCGGACTACAATACTTCCTGTGTGATAAAGCACTGTACATTCAGTTTCTCTTCACAACAGCAGTCAAGTTGGCTACCATCTGCTGTGATCACTTTCCAAACATACGTGTTTAAAAACAAAGGCTATCATTCTGCTGCTATTAACTAGCCTGGGTTGATCTCAAAAAACTAAGCAGGGTGAGATCCAGTTAGTATTGGGAGGGAAGACCACTAGGAAATCCCAGGGCTGTATATTACACTGAGAAATCAAAACAAAAAATAATATCCATATCTTGGAGGACAGCAATAATGAACTACTTTGACCCTGTGGTCAAGAAGTTGACATGGACATGTCCATGAATGGCACGAAATTTGTTCCACAGTGGGAGAGACAGGAGATGATGGGCTCATTCTCCTGTAGGTGTTTCATTTTGAAAAAAAACATAAGCAAGGTCAGATCAGATTGAACAGATACCAGCCTTTCCAGGTAGACCAGACAGGAAACACAATCAGATGAGCTAATTTTACTTTATTGGGAGGCTACATTAAGGAAATCTTGCAAGTTCTATAGCAGCAATCCCCCAACCTTTATGGTTTGGCCACCTGACGGGAGGAGGGGGAAGAGGGGAACCAACTTGGATAAGTTGTACAAGTATGTGCTGGCCCGCTGCTCATGCAAGTCAAATTGCACACTTTTTGTGCACTGGACCACTCCTTGTGCAAGTCGAGCTGCATGTGCACCAGCCAGTCACTCGTGGGGCCCAGTTCTGAATAGGCAACGGCTCAGGTAGTGGGTTGCGGCCTGGGAGTTGAGGACCCTTGTCCTATAATACAAATCTGCCGTTGTCTCTTTTACAGCCTGAGGAGTTAAGGGGTTTCCTTTTGGGCTTTCTTTTCCTGCCCATTGTGCAGCTCTTATCCAATCCTTCCTTAGGCAGCATCTCTCCCCACCTCACCCCCAGTCTCCCAAAGTCATTCCCACATGCCATTACACCGGGAGATCACCAGGATTGTCATGCCCCTGGTGGAGACTGACTCTGAGGAAGAGGAGGAACAGCTGACAGGGAGTGGAAGTGTGGCTCCAGAGGTGGTGGAGGAGGCTGGGGAAGGGCAGAGGCCGGCTGAGTAATCAGAGGAGGATCCAGGCCCATCCCCTCTCCATCCTAAGGCACCCAGGGAGGAGAGGATCAGGGAAAAATGTGATCTGCATGGGGGAAGAGGGCCATGATCCTCTTCATGGGTTGCAGCTGCGAGCTCTGTATAAGAGTTTGAAACTGCGTGTTCACAGACACCGGAGTCAAATTATGCTTTCTTTGGATGAATTTTAACTTTCCCCAGTTATAACTCTCCCCAGTTATCTTCCTGGAATGTGTGATTAATTATCTTGGTTTGCCTTGGAACTCTCATCAATGCGGTTTGTTTTTGGTTTCCTTTTGCTTCATTATCTATTTTTTGAATTTAAACTGGGACTAATAAAACAGTGAAGTTAAGTTGAAGGCATTACAAGACCTTGATTCATGTTTTAGTTTTTGTGCTATTTTTGAGACACTATGGATCATCACAAGGATATCTCAGGCTGGAAGATATAATGCCTCGCCTTATGCAGAGCCACTGTTTTATTACAATGCAATTTCCTGCAGATTAAATTGATTAATTAAGTCATACTGATTAGCTGCGATTTCTTTAATGGAATATAGTCAACAAATGCATTACTGAATTGGGTTCAATAACACAAACACATTTATGTGCCGCTGTCATGAAAACACATACCTTTGCTAGCAACACATTAAACTGCTCATCTGTCAGAGGTAAAATGAATGTTTCAATCACTCTTCTAAATTCACCCTTAGTGATCTTCAGTGTCTGATCGATATCAATAATCTGAAATGCTTTTTTGATTTCATCTTCCTTTGCAATTATTTTCTGAAGCAAAATCTGCTCAATAACATCGGGTGACAGCGTGGAGTCAGGGACAGACTTGACAGAAACAGCTGCAAAAGACAGGATGGGTTGTAAAGCCTTGTTAAAAATAGATACAAATTGAATTATCAAGTTTAAGATACAGAATGGAATGCAAACCATTCCAAAGCAAATCTTTTCTTTACAAGTAGCCCCTCAACTTATGGCCACAGTGGGAGCCGGAATTTTGGTTGTCATGACCAAATTTTGATTTTGCATCCATTTTTATCATGATTAATTGAATCATGTTATGCACATTCAGCATACCCGATGGACATTTTTGGCCATTTTCTGCCAGTGACCACTGCAACCAGTTGTAAATGCAAGCTGGTGGCCAAACACTTAAATGTGACCATGTGACCACCAGGGGGCAGTGGTAACTTTGGAGACAGGTTGTAAGCAGGGGTGGGATTCAAATTTTTTAACAACCGGTTCTGTGGGCATGGCTTAGTTGGTGGGTGTGGCTTGGTGGTCATGTGACTGGCTGGGCGTGGCCAATTCAACATCACTCACATCGAGGCACGCATCTCCTCGCCTGGCCTCTCATGACTGTGGGGATGGTGCAACAGTCATAAGTGTGAAAAATGGTCATAAGTCACTTTTTTCAATGCCATTGTAACTTTGAATGGTCACTCCACACAAGCAAAGTACCAGCAAAGGAGGGGAAAAAACTCCAGAGAAGTTCCTGAGACAGGAAGTCTAATCCTGCCAAGAATGTAATAAGGGTTAACGGAGAGGCAGTTTCTGTAAGCAACACCAGAATGTTTCCTTCCTGCCTTCCTTACAGGATTAGGCTAGTAATTTCTTCCAACTGGTTCTCCGAACTGCTTAGAATGTTAACAACTGGTTCTTGCGAATAGGTGCGAACTGGTAGAATTCCACCCCTAGTTCTAAGTAGTTTGTTTTTGAAGTCCATTGTAACTTTGTTTGAAGACCAATAGTAATTCAAAGACTACTTGTTTGCAGGAATATAAAGTAACCTATTGTGAACAAAGGCATAGAGTTTACAATCTTCATTTTGAGACGGAATTGCTGACGTGGGGTCCAGAAGGCAAAGCAAGTGATGCCACTGGTATCTTCCTTCACTCACTACTTTTTGCAATCTTTTGCCTAGAGGTGAGCTTTTGAAAACTGAAGGCTGTGCAATTTGTTTTGTGCCAAAGCGACATAAAAGCATCACTCAGCTTCACTATGTCCATTTCAGCCATTTCCCTGAGACAGTGGATCTCAACCTGTGGTCCATAGACTCCTGAGGGGGCCACAATGTCGCCACAGGGAACCCACAAAGCTTCGTGGTTATGATTGTTATGGAAAAGGTTTGTGGAATGTTGTGATTTAAATCTTAAGTTTTGGGGATCTGTGCAGTGGTGGGATTCAACCAGTGTTACAACCGGTTTGGTGGGCATCAGTGGTGGTATTCTACCAGTTCGGCCCGGTTCTGCCAAGCCAGTAGTGGTGATGAGCAGCGGAGACCAAACCGGTTCTCTCCCGCTGTTGGGCCCACCTGGCCGCCCGGCCTCCAACATGCATATTTATCCTCTGCTTTTGAAGTGCAGCTGCTTTGCACGGCACTGCAGAGTGCCACACGGCAGCTGCTGAAGCAACCGGGAGAGTGCAGGCTTGCAGCAGGTGAGTAGTACGCCTTTGCACCTGCGCCAAGTGCGCATTTGGTGCGTGCGTGCATGCAAAGTGTGTGCGCATACACAAAGCGTGCCCACCAAGCCACGCCCACCGAACTGGTGGTAAAACCCTTTTGAATCCCACCACTGGTGGGCATGCGCTTCATGCACACGCATGCCACACACACATTGTGCACATGCAGTACTTTTGAAAATAGCAAGAAAACTTACCTTTTACTGAAGCCCGGGTGAGTAAAAACAGCCGAGGCAGGGCAATCTGGGCTGCCGTGCCAATCAGCTGGGCTTCAAACAAAAGAAATATAGCATAGAATAGAGCGGGTGGGTGGGTGGGCAGGGCCAAACGATTGCCGGAACTACCGGTTCACCCAAACCAGTCCGTACCGGCTAAATCCCACCCCTGGATCTGTGGCCACAAAAAGTATTTAAAGGGGATTCCATGGTGAAGAAAAGGTTGAGAACCATTGTGTCATGCCCCTGTCAGAGTCTGAATCTGAGGAGGAAGCCGAACAGCTGACAGGGAGTGGGAGTGTAGCTCTGTTGGCTGTGGAGGAGGCTGGAGAAGGGCAAAGTCTGGCTGGGCAGAGCAGGGGAGAGAGAGAGAACAAGGGAGAGGGAGTTCAGAGGAAGACCCAGGCCCACCATCTCTTCATCCTAGAGCTCGCAGGGAGGAATAGAGAAGAGAGCAATGTGGATTGCTTGGCTTATGGGGAAGGAAAGGGCCCTGATTCCCTTCATTAGCCACAGCTGGAAGACAGTTGATAAGAAAGGCAGGCTGCATGTAGTAGGCTGCTGGGAACAAATGTTACTTTATCTTGTGTTGTCATGGCTTATCTGTGTTCCTGGCATCTCCCCAACCATTTTTTGAGTTTTGCCGTGTCTTCAAGTCTGAAATTCTTGCTCCTGCCCTGCCAAACTAATTACTTCAGTTTGGCTTGTTTGGACTTTAAGTTACAGTTTGTGTTGACCATGTTTTGGACTTAATTTTCTGCAGCCAATGGCAGTTCCTGGGAGAGTTTTTCTCCAACCAGAAGGTAACGTGGACATTGGGGGCAAAGTTGGAGATAATAAAGGGACTCTTATTGCTTATCTGACTGTGTTGCCTTTGTGTCACGCTCCGGGTCATCACACACTGTCCATTGGCATGACCATTGCTGGTTACACATGATATCTCCAACAGGGGAATCTCAATCTCAAATCTTTTGCATGTTTGTGCCCACAATTTGGATCAGAACCATCGAGAAGGTCCTTACTTGAGGCAGATTGGACTGAGCTTTCACTGCTGCTCTTACTGCTGGTGCTGCTACTCCGTGTGGAAGATCGCCCTGATGAGTTGGATTGGACTCTGGCATTGAAAACAATCCCATGAGACTGAGGGCATAAAGTCTTGAAATCACATGCATTCACCACTCTGGACATTATTCCTGCAAGAAATAAGGGAGAACAAAGAAAGAAGTTGAACCAAAAAAAAAGGAGCCAAGGTGGCACAATACAAAGAGGGACAGCTGGAAAAATCAACTAGAGAAAATTAAACAAGCCACCCAAGACGAAAGACACTACGGGAAGTCTTCAGGTTACGACCATAACTAAGCCCACAATTTCAGCCATAAGTTGTGAGGCCATAGAGCAGGTCACCATATGACTGGACTGGATTGTCAATGCTCCGACAAACTATCCGCATTCAAATCATGAGTCTTTAGCCACATCTTTCAGAGTAAAAAAAATGATTTATTAGGAGTGACTATGTCGGCATCACCTGGGTGCAGCTGACACTAAGATACATCATTCATTTCACCCTTGACCCTGGTCTTCCCCCCACCCGCTGGATGCATATTCTTCAATGGGACACATCCATAGCCAAGAGTCATCAATCATGCTCTCCAGTAATAGTCTTGCGCGCTTTAACTACTCTCAAAAGTAGTTAAAACAGTCAGCATGGCTGGCTGGGGAATGTGAGGATTTGAAGTCCACCCATCTTAGTTACTAATACATATGGGGAGGGGACTTCTCATAGGGCCAACTAGCCCCACTGTTGTTTGGGCCCATGTCTCCAGAGGTGGTATTCAGCAGGTTCTGACCAGTTCTAGAGAAACCGGTAGTGGAAATTTGGAGTAGTTCGGAATACTACCTCTGCCTCGCCCCCATCTATTCTCTGCCTCCCATTGAGTCCCAGCTGATCGTCTGGGTCTTCTTTGGTTGCCCTGCACAGGAGAATGGAGCTGGAAAGCAGGTTAGTGGGGTGGGGAGGGAATGGAGATTATACAGTAACCTTCGCCCAGGAGTGTGGAGGAAATAGAAATTTTACAGTATAGAACAGAACAAAACAGGAACAGAACAGGAACAGAATAGAACAGAACAAGAATAGAACAGAACAAGAACAGAACAAGAACAGAACAAGAATAGAATAGAATAGAATAGAATAGAATAGAATAGAATAGAATAGAATAGAATAGAATAGAATAGAATTCTGTTCTATTCTACTCTATTCTGTTCTATTCTATGTAAGGCTACACAGCCAAGTTGAACATATAATGCTAAATACATATTATTTACTTTATAAATAGAAATTATTTATAAAAATATTATTTCATACTTTAATATATTAAACACTTTTTGTTTGGGCCTCTTAGAAATCTAAATCTCTCTCTCTCACACACACACATCTACACTAAGTGCAGTATTTAATTTGTAATTATTGCTATATCTGTTTATTTTAATAACCATATTGTAAATTGATCAGATGTAATTCTTAATTCAAAAATGGGACATATTGTAGAAAGTAATATGAAGGGGTAAATACAATATCAGAGTGGAACAAGGTGATACAGAAAAGTTTTTATGTATTTAGTTTATTAAACTAAATAGAACTCAATCTATGGATGGATGGATGGATGATGGATAGGCAGGCAGACAATTAGTATATCTTGCTCAGACCACGATTAAAATTGTAATTGTTCCAATGAGTAGAAACACTGCGTATCTGTGATGATGTAAATGTGCTCACTCAGAATTCTTATACAGGATGCTACAGGTTAGTGTAACTAACTATTCTGCAGTTTGTGTAACTAACTATTCTGCAGTTTGTTGCTTGTGTAACTTTGTGTGTTCTCCCTGTTTGTTTGTTTGTTTGGTTTGCCTGGGGCTAGTTTGTGCTTCAGCACATTTGCTTATTACTTACCTAATATATTGACACCTCACTGTTTTGTTTCCTTAAGCCCTTGTAGGTTACGTAAATTCAGAAAGCAGGATTAACTCTGTTCACAAGGCGACTGCAAACACAGACCGTGGCCATCGTACCTTGAGACAACCCGATACTAGGCAGAATTAGCGCTGCCTGGGAAAAGGTGAGATCAAATTCCAGTGCAAATTGCTGGACGGCCAATCCTACTTTCTCAAGCTTATCTATCTTGCCGGGTTATAAGAAGCCCAGCATCGAAAGAGCCGCTCCTGGGCTGTAAGGGGGCTAAAGTTCTTCCAACACGCTCCCGCATCTCTTTGCAAGAAAAAGAAACTTTGTTTTCCCGACGCAGAAGAAACCAACCGTGTTTCTCTCCTCCTTCTCCTCCTCCTCCTCCTCCGTCCTGAGACGTCATTATCGGCGGAAAAGTAGGCAGCGGTGTCTGGGCTGGAGCAAGGGAAGGAGGTTCCCACCGCGAGCGGGAGAAAGATGCTCGGAATGCCCGCGTCCCGCTTGCAAAAGTTCGCACTTTCGCGGCTTTCGCTGCCTGAAACGCGGCGTTGCCAAGACGCTGTAGCCGCAGCAACGCGGAGCGGCTTCCCATTCGCCGAGAGGCCGCGCAGGGGGCTTAGCAACCGTAACGGGCGACAATTGAGCTCACGTGTCTGGAGAGCTTTCGCGTCGGGGACCCGTCGTCCGAAAGCCACGCGAACCTCCCCCCCCCCCGGGTTCCTGTCGCGGACTCCTCGGAATGCATCCCCGTTCAAGGGGCTTTGGCTCCTAAAGCCAAGCCCGAAAGGTCCCCCTGGTGCAAATCAGGTGAGAGAGAGAGAGAGAGAGAGCAGGACTGCTGTGTGCTCGGGACCCTGAGCGGTGCACGTGGGAAGCGAATCGGGCGGCTTTCACGGGAACTCGCGAGGGGTCGCGGCTCGCCCTCTGGGTGCAAAAGGAGCAGTCAGATTTCCCCCACCCCCCGTTTTGGTTAGATGGAGGGATTTTTCGAGCTGTCCGTCTGGAAACGTCAGCAGCAGCAGCTTCGCCAACGTCCTGCGCGCGTTCATACTCCTCGCACAGCAGCTCGAGAAAGACGCCTCGTTTAGGTTTTGCGCTCCGAACCGGCGTGGCTGAACCTTCTCTTTCGCTGGCTGGCTGGCTGAGGTGGGGCGTTCTTGGAGTTGAAGTCCCCCTCTCTCTTGAACTGTTTCCACGTCAGTCAAAATCACTCTCACCGGGAAGGCTCACCGGCGCCCTAAGCACTGACAAATCTTGGTGCCCTTCTCCCCCCGCCGCCCTTTCTTCATACTGTACAAAGGAAGCCAAGCTGAGGCGACGTAAAAGTTTTTGTGGCGCCCCTTTTGAGCCTGGTGCCCTAAGCACATACTTAGTCTGCTTAATGGTTAATACACCACTGCCTCTCTTTCTCTCCTTCTCTCTCCCTCCCCTCTCCCCCTTCCTCTTTTCTCCCTCCCATCTCTCCCTCCCTCCTCTCTCCCCCTCCCTTCTCCCTCTCTTTTTCCTCCCTCCCTCCCTCCCTCTCTCCTCTCACTGTCTCTCCCTTCCCCTCTCTTTCTCTCTCCCTCCCCCCCTCTCTCCTTTCCCCTCCCTCTCTCCTCTCCTTCCCTCCTCCCTCTTTTTCCTCCCTCCCTCACCTCTCACTGTCTCTCCCTCCCTCATTCCCTCCCTCCCTCTCCCTCATCTCATTCCTCCCTCCCTCCTCTCTTCATCCCTCCTCTCATTCTCTCCCCCTCCCTCTTCCCTCTCTTTTTCCTCCCTCCCTCTCCCTCCTTCTCTCCTTTCACTGTCTCTCCCTTCCCCTCCTCCCTCCTCATTCTCTCCCTCCCCCCTCTCCCTCCTTCTCTCTCCCTCCTCTCATTCTCTCTCCCTCACTCTTTCCTCCCTCCCTCTCTCCTTTTCCCTCTCTCCCCTCTCCTTCCCTCCTCCCTTTTTCCTCCCTCCCTCTTGCCTCTCACTGTCTCTCCCTCTCCTCCCTCATTCTCTCCCTCCCCCTCTCCATCTCTATCACTCCCTCCCTCTCTCTCCCTCATCTCATTCTCTCCCTCACTCTTTCCTCCCTCCCTCCCTCCCCTCTTCCTCCCTCCTCTCATTCTCCCCCTCCCTCCTCCCTCCCTCTCCCTCCCTCTCTGCTCTCACTGTCTCTCCCTCCCCCTCTCCTCCCTCCTCATTCTCTCTCCTCACTATCACTCCCTCCCTCTCTCCTCAGTCTCTCCCTTCCCCTCTCTCACCCTCCCTTTCTCTCTCCCTCCTCTCCTCTCTCCTTCCCTCTCTCTCCCTCACTCTCCCCTTCCCTCCCTCATCTCACTCTCCCTCCCTCCCGCATCAGAAGGGATGGTAAACCCACACCTTAATTAGCATTTTTAGCTTCATAGATACATACTGGCAGTTGCTGTCGGAGCTGAGCTTCTCCTTCTGTTGGCATATGATGACGACCAGACTGCTGGCAGATATGCCTCACTAAGGTGATAGTTCGCATGTGCCTCAGTCCTAACTACCCAGGGGACCGACACCGCCTTTTCAAGACTCGATCCTGGTTTAGTAGACTGCAAGCATATGCTTCCCAACTTGCCCATAAGTTCAGCCTGACATTTTCGAGGGAAGCAGCTGCGGGGATGCAATTCATCCACTCAGCAGGAACCTGCCTATGTACTATGCCCTTACCATAGTGGGTGGGTTTTCACATCCCATTCAGCCAACTCGATCATCAGACAGTGCGAAGGGGCTGTCTGAGGAAGCAGATGGTAAAGCTGGCATGGCCCTCCACTTGAAACCTTCAAAACTCTTTGTGATGCCTGACTTCTGCAAGCTTAAGACTCTGTCATCAGCAAAGAGGGAGAAAGACGGGCCTTGGGCCTTCAGGGATGATAGCAGAGGCTTTCCAAGTGTTAACCTCTAAAGAAGATGAATCAGTCTTGGCTTTTGGGCAGCGCATTGGGGGCAAAGGGGAGTTTATCTTGTCTGTTCCAGAAACATCTTGTTCCTGGATTAGAGCCCAGCAAGGGTTTGCTGTGCTTAGGGAGGTGAAAATCCCATCCAGTTTGGTCATCTGATTCTACCAGATTTGTCTCTTCCAAATGTCAACTTTACTAGACTGTTTCCCGTATTTGGCATGAAAGTTCATTCTCACGTGGTCAAAGGAAAACAACTGCTATCAAATCTGTCCACTTTTTAGCGATTGATAGGAATCAAGCCATACAACCCATTGAGAATGAAATGCCAAAAATAA